ACCAGGCCCGCAGAGACCTTGGTGTTGGTCTTCCCAGTCCTATCTGTTCTGCTAGATGGCAGGGACCTGGTGATGGTCTTCTCAGTCCTAGTGTTGGCTCAAGGTGGCAGGGACCTTGGTGATGGTCTTCCCAGTCCTGGCTGTTGTCTCTAGGTGACAGGGACCTTGGTGTGGGTCTTCCCAGTCCTGGCTGTTGTCTCTAGGTGACAGGGACCTTGGTGATGGTCTTCCCAGTCCTGGCTGTTGTCTCTAGGTGGCAGGGACCTTGGTGTGGGTCTTCCCAGTCCTGGCTGTTGTCTCTAGGTGACAGGGACCTTGGTGTGGGTCTTCCCAGTCCTAACTGTTGTCTCTAGGTGACAGGAACCTTGGTGATGGTCTTCCCGGTCCTGGCTGTTGTCTCTAGGTGGCAGGGACCTTGGTGTGGGTCTTCCCAGTCCTGGCTGTTGTCTCTAGGTGACAGGGACCTTGGTGTGGGTCTTCCCAGTCCTGGCTGTTGTCTCTAGGTGACAGGGACCTTGGTGATGGTCTTCCCAGTCCTGGCTGTTGTCTCTAGGTGGCAGGGACCTTGGTGTGGGTCTTCCCAGTCCTGGCTATTGTCTCTAGGTGACAGGGACCTTGGTGTGGGTCTTCCCAGTCCTGGCTGTTGTCTCTAGGTGACAGGGACCTTGGTGATGGTCTTCCCAGTCCTGGCTGTTGTCTCTAGGTGGCAGGGACCTTGGTGTGGGTCTTCCCAGTCCTGGCTGTTGTCTCTAGGTGACAGGGACCTTGGTGTGGGTCTTCCCAGTCCTGGCTGTTGTCTCTAGGTGGCAGGGACCTTGGTGTGGGTCTTCCCAGTCCTGGCTGTTGTCTCTAGGTGGCAGGGACCTTGGTGTGGGTCTTCCCAGTCCTGGCTGTTGTCTCTAGGTGACAGGGACCTTGGTGTGGGTCTTCCCAGTCCTAACTGTTGTCTCTAGGTGACAGGAACCTTGGTGATGGTCTTCCCAGTCCTGGCTGTTGTCTCTAGGTGGCAGGGACCTTGGTGATGGTCTTCCCAGTCCTGGCTGTTGTCTCTAGGTGGCAGGGACCTTGGTGTGGGTCTTCCCAGTCCTGGCTGTTGTCTCTAGGTGGCAGGGACCTTGGTGTGGGTCTTCCCAGTCCTGGCTGTTGTCTCTAGGTGGCAGGGACCTTGGTGTGGGTCTTCCCAGTCCTGGCTGTTGTCTCTAGGTGACAGGGACCTTGGTGATGGTCTTCCTAGTCCTGGCTGTTGTCTCTAGGTGACAGGGACCTTGGTGTGGGTCTTCCCGGTCCTGGCTGTTGTCTCTAGGTGGCAGGGACCTTGGTGTGGGTCTTCCCAGTCCTGGCTGTTGTCTCTAGGTGGCAGGGACCTTGGTGTGGGTCTTCCCAGTCCTGGCTGTTGTCTCTAGGTGGCAGGGACCTTGGTGTGGGTCTTCCCAGTCCTGGCTGTTGTCTCTAGGTGACAGGGACCTTGGTGATGGTCTTCCCGGTCCTGGCTGTTGTCTCTAGGTGGCAGGGACCTTGGTGTGGGTCTTCCCAGTCCTGGCTGTTGTCTCTAGGTGGCAGGGACCTTGGTGTGGGTCTTCCCGGTCCTGGCTGTTGTCTCTAGGTGGCAGGGACCTTGGTGTGGGTCTTCCCGGTCCTGGCTGTTGTCTCTAGGTGACAGGGACCTTGGTGATGGTCTTCCCAGTCCTGGCTGTTGTCTCTAGGTGGCAGGGACCTTGGTAACGGTCTTCCCAGTCCTGGCTGATGTCTCTCCTTGGCAGGGACCTTGGTGACGATCTTCCCAGTCCTGGCTGTTGTCTCTAGGTGGCAGCAGGTGGAGAGCTGGGTTTGTAGGTGGGAGCACAGTGCAGCTGGCCGCCTCCCCCACCCTGTCAGCAGGGACTGCTCTGCTCCTCCTCCTTGGTGCCTCAGGCCGGGAGCGAGGCTTCTCATTGTGTTCTTGGCATCTGTTGCTGGTATCCTGTTCAGAAGTTTTACATCAATCAATATTCACATGAGGTATCAGTTGGTACTTTCCTTTATACTGATACTCTCTTTACCATGTTTAGATATAACTGTTATACTTGATTAATAAAAGAAAAATGGAAATTTTTTCTTCATTTTCTAGGCTCAGAAATAATTTATGCAGCATAGAGACAATTTGATTCCTATGGTTTGATCGAATCCCATATGAAACTATTTGGGATGGGTTTTTGTTAGTTTGTTTGTTTTTGTAGCGTAGTTCCTTAAATATTTTCTCTATTTTCTATAGACATTGGACTATTTAACTTTCATCTATACTGAGGTCAGTTTGAGGGGAGGGTACTCAGGATTGAACTTAGGCGTACTCAGCCACTGAGCCACATCCCCACCCCAATTTTACACTTTTTTGGAGTTGCTTAACATCTCACTTTTGCTGAGAGTAGCTTTGAACTCACAATCCTCTTGCCTCAGCCTCCAGAGCTGCTGGCTGAGATCAATTTTTATAGCTATATTTTCCTCAGGTATTATTCATCTAACCTGGGTTTCAAATTTACTCATATAAAGTTTTACAAAATAACTTTTAAGGTCTTTATTTCCTCTATGTCAGTAATTACCTTTCTTTGTTATTTCTTATTTTATCATTCAAACTTTCTTCCTTTTTTGATAAAATTAGATAATGGATTGTATATTTTATTTCTATGAGAACCAGGATTTCATTTATTTATTAATTTGATCTATGTCTTTCTGTTCTTGACATCACTAATTTCTGCTCCTGTCTTTTTTTTAATATTTATTTATTTATTTTTAGTTATAGGCTTAGGAATCAAATAGTCTGTATGCTGTATAAATTATTTCTGAGCCTAGAAAATGAAGATAGCTTTATTTTATTTTATTTATTTTTTATGTGGTGCTGAGATTGGAACCCAGTGCCTCATGCATCCTAGGTGAGCGCTGTACCTCTGAGCCATAGCCACAACCCTCTGCTCCTGTCTTTATTCTAGCTTTATAATTTCCTTCCTTTCATATTCTTTTGGTTTGTTTACGTGTTCTCTCCCTTCCTTTTTTGAACTGAAAACTAAGTTTATTTACTTTTTTCTTTCATTTTTAGTAACATAGGAATGATTGGTTCTAATATAAAGTGTTTTTATTGGAAACAATATAATTTCTGTTTATATTTCTGTTCACACAAAAGTTGGTTGATAGAAGTTTTTTGTTTTTGTTTTTGGTTTTGGTTTGGTTTATTTCTAGATGGAAGGGCTCATTTAGTTTTTGTTCCTAGTTTTATTGCACTGTGATCAGAGAATGTTAACATTTCTACATTTTGCAATTTTTTTTTCTGCATTTAATATATGACCATATGTACCCAAGAAGAGAGTTCATCCTCTGTTATCAGAGTGTGCTGTTGGCTAGTCTGCCAGTCTGACTCTGGGGAGCTTCCTTAGAGATGGTCCTGCCCCGTCTGTCATTCTGAGGAAGGATCAGAGCTACCGTCTGGCAGGGTGTGCCCTGCTCAGATTCCTTACTTCCTTCTGTGCTCTCAGCTGGTCCCTTTGAGGCCTTGTCTGCTCTTGTGGCCGGCAGCCCTGGAGGGAAGCTATTGTTGTTTTTTTGTTTGTTTTGGTGCTGGGGATTTCTAAATACATTTATCAGCAGAGTGTTTCCTGGGAGCAGATTTAGAGCATGCATGGTATTTTTAAAATAAAGGCTGGAAATATGGCTAAGGAGTGTCATGTAGGAGCTGACACATGTTCTGAGCCTGTATACATTTTGGCTTTTTGCTTCCTATCTACATTCAGTATTTATCAATAGCAAATTTAAGGGTGAGAGAAACAAGTGGGCAATAGAGCTTGCCACAACTGGAAAAGGGGGGACACTACGTATACATGGGCACTTAGAAACCAGGTGGTGAGTATCTGTTACGCCCTAGACATCAGCGAAAATGTACAGGAGGTAGCTCCATGGCCTGTCCCCTTCAGAAACACAGACATCAAGCAGAGACTGCCAGAACAAAGTTTGTCAGTTCTCTGAAGAACAGGCAAAGGTCTTCCCCAGCAAGACCTGACTCAAGAAAAGGCAGCTAGAGAGTGTGAGGAGAGCTTTGAAGTATCCACTTGTCCCACCTCCACTCAGGACCTGATCCTTGGTTCCAGAGGGAGCGGAGCTTGCCTTGATCTCAAAGAGGCATGTGTGTCTCTTCTCATGAGTCCAGGGCTGCCTGGAGGACTGGTCCAGGTGCTTGTCATTGTCTCACCTAACTCACACCCATTTGGCACAGGAAAGTGGTAGGCAAAATAATCATAGTTGAAGCAAACAATAGGACACTGAACGCTCTGGAGGAAAAGCCAGGGAGAGACATTCTTTGGGAAAGTAGGCCATACTAAAGCGCTTGTGAATGCTGGGAAATCTAAAAGGCCTCCTGCATGTCCAAGACAGCTCCCATGCTTGGAAAAGACCTTTTACCTTAGATTGGTCTTGAAGCTCAGTGCAAGGAGGAAGTGAAGGCTGAGGCATCGTTGGGAACCCCCTGGCTATGCAGGGAAGCGGGCCCAGCACAGACCCACTCACAAACACTGGGAGAGGTTTCCTCTCTGTCTTTCTGGCTCTGGCTCTGTCTCTCTTCCCCTTTTGGCTCCTAAATCTGTGCTCAGTTCATTAGGGAAGCCTGGTGTAGATGCTGAGGATGTCTGCAAGAGCAGCAAACAGAGCTGGCTGCCTGTCCTTGGGGGATGCCCAGGCAGGGAGGAGTGACCCTTGGTGGCATGTGCAGAACACTGAGCTTCTCAGCTGTCTCGGCTTTAATCTTTGGAGATTGCTGTGGTTCGTATGCCAGTCAGAGGTAGAGTTGATCCTAATTCTATCTGAATGTTTTAACCCCAAGGCAGGGCTCACCCTGCTGTCTCTGGGAGACCAATGCAGAGGCTGACTGTCCAATCCTGCAAGGGACTACAGCAGCCACAGTCATAGCCCAGCCAAGATCCCAGCTGCCTTCTCTGTACCCAGTGCTAACTATGCCTGACCCAGGCTGTCTTTCCATACAGGAAGGACATTCCCATGGAGCACGTGACGTACGCAGACAGAGAGCAGACCAAGAAGGTGGTGTACTCCGTGGTCTATGGAGCAGGTGGGCTGACGGCAGGGGTTTAGGTCTTGGGGTCACCTATGAGCTTGATGACTGTGTACCTATATTTAAGTACAGCCATGTCTAAGAGAAACCACTCTGAGAGTCCCTGTATGTTGTTTACACAAACACTGGTGACATTGGTGTCACCCAGCACTAGTCAGACCATTTCACACTGCCAGATCACAGTGTCACTGCCAACACTGTCAGGGGAGACAGCAGGTACCAGCACACTGCCACACCAGGCATCATTGTCATGCTTGGGATCCTCCTCCACACACAAACACCAAGGCTTTAGAGAGTGCAGCTACCTCAAATGGGGCCTGGTTTGTCTTGTTTTCGCTTCTCAGCACTCATTGATCTGTCCCAGAACAGAACTCATCCAGCTGGGCCAGCAGCCAAAGACAGCCCCCAACAGAGGACAGAGCCAAGCCTCAGGCCAGGAGTTGGGGCCAGCCTCAGGGGCAGCAGGCAGGAAGGAGAGGGGCTAGAGGCCAGACACCTGGGCATCCCCCTGCCGCCTCTGCAAGCCGCCCCAGGGCCCAGCAGAATCGCACTTTGCTCTCTCCCACTCTCCTCCTCTTCCTTCCACTCCCTGACATCCTTCCTTCCACTCCCTGACGTGGGTGTGTCGGAGCCCTCCTCCATCCTCAGTGCTCTCTTGCTTGCCCTCTGCTCTGCAGACATCTCCTTTAGGAGACAGATGCAGCTCTCCCCTGACTCCCTCCTCAGCCTTCCCCCACCACTGTTATTCGTTGCCCATTTCTGAGTAACAAGTTACCATAAACACATTGACTTAAAACAACGCCCACTCATCCCCTCACAGTTTTTATGGGTCTAGGGACTAGATCCCTTGCAGGCTGCAATCAGGGTGCTGACTGGAGTGTGGTCTCATCTAAAGTTCCACTGGGGAGGTTCCAGTGGGTTCAACTTGCTTCCTGCTGGCCCATGGCCTCCAGCATAGGCAGAGCCTTTACTGTGGCACTGAGATGCCAATTCTGCACTTTCTTATCTGCTCAAGGTCTCAGGTGTAACTCACCATGAGCTCCAGAGGACAGGAGCCTAGAGGGTTTTGCTCATAGCCTGGCATAAAGAAGGCACGTAATACTCACTGAGCACACTGATGACCTTTGAGAATGTTCTGGTTGTGCACACTGTGTCTGGAAGACACACCAGAAGTGAGCTCAGTGGAGACAATGGGATGCTGGGACTCTCCTCAGTTGTTGGGCCTGTTTCCTCTTAAATGTCCTCTGAAGCTTCCTGGGGTCTCCATTCTGGGGGAAAGCAGCATTCTGCCAAGTAAACTAGACCTCAGTGCCTTGCATCCTTGCTCCAGACGTGCCACGAGCTCCAGCTCAGCAGGTCCAACGCTGCCTTCCCACCCTGCCCAGCCCAAGTCTTGATTCTGTCACCACCTGAGCATGTGGCCCTGTCCGAGGTGCCAGTATTGGTCTCCTTCTCAGAAAATGCTCTTGTATGATTGCTGAGGCAGCACCTGGCTCAGCTAGCCCCCATCTCTTGTCATCTGCCACCTATCTGGGTCCTGCTTCAATGCTGGGCTATTTCAACAAATGCCCCAAGTGAGGCTGGACCCTCCTGTTCAGTCAGGAGAAAGGGAGGCCCACTGTGGGTAAACTGGGCTCCAAGAGGACAGCAGAGTCCCCCACAGTAGTCCCCACCCCCAGATGAAGGTGGACTTCATGGCCACCCACTGGGCTTCTTCTGGAGCATTTATTTTTTCCTGAAGAGGAAAAGAGCTACACTGTGCAAATAAGCAGTGAGTCATTGGCTGTGATGCTGGTGAAGAGGGTAATTTGGCTACTTTTAGCCCTGATGCTGGCAGGGCTCCCACCCCAAGCTTCCACCTCACAGCCTCCATTGCTCCCGCCTGCCTGACAGCTGGAATCACCACGTACGTGTTGCTCACTTCAGGTTGTGTCTCTGTTCCCCTTTTGAAACCAGAACCTTGTCGGATTATCTGGGACCAAGAACCCAAGTGAATTCACCAGGTTCCTGAGCTGCTGGGAACCTTTGGAAAATTCAGTGGAGGGACTTTGGCCCAGGCAGGCAGCCCTGCCTTTCACAGAATCACAACTCTGAGAGTCCAGAAACTGCTATAGGAACACTGGGCCCTGGCCGAGGCATTATTCTGTGTGTTCCTGAGGATGGTGACAGAGATAGCAGAAGCAGCTGCAAGACTTTGAAACAAGCAGAGAAGCAGCTTAAGGGCCGGCATGGCCTTTAGTCGCCTAAACTCAGCAACATACTGGGGCACCTCCCTACTCACTGTGCCTGCCTACAGCCACCTCTGAGTTCCAACAGGAGCCATATTTCTGCAAGAAACTGCCCACAGACCCCCAGATAAAGCCCAAGGCTTTTATAATTATAACTTTCTCAGAGTTGGCCAGTCTTCTCAGTGCTTCCTCAGAGTGCTCCACAGCCAGTCACCAAGCAGTCAGCAGATGCTTATAGGATGCATGCTGTAGGCTGGGCCCACAGGAGGGCTGTGGACTAGGACTCAGGCCTGCTTCTAAGGGGCATGTCTCCTCTAGAACTGAGCCTAACACTGAGAGTCCTTGGTACCCAGGGAGCCCCAAAGAGTGCCTATAAGGATGGGGCCTGAGAGCCTGGGAGGCTGCCCAGAGAAGCAACACCTGGGCTAGAGTGGAAGGTCCATCCAGGTGGAGTAGTGTTCCTGGGGCTCAGTGTTGGTCAGACACTTCTCAACCCCAGTGACAGAAATGAGTGAGAGACTGAGCAATACTTATGGGGCAGTACTTAGAGGAAACGGAATGGAGGTGTCTTCCTGAAGATAAATCTATGATGTATACACACAGGACGTGATTAGCCACCTGGCAAAGGCCATATTGCTCAGATAGGATTTTAGGGGTGGGAAATGCTTAGTGTTCCTACTGAGTGGGTCCTGGGTGCTCTCAGGCATACCTGCTTGTGATTATAACCCAAAAAATAGAAACCTAATCAACTGATCAGCTCTATGAGAGAAGGAGCCAATATGTGGGCGAGAACAGAGGAGCCCTCGAGCCAAGAGATGTCCTGCTTGGGTAGGAACAGTGGGCTTGAGGGTGATAACCCCACTCCAGGGCCTGGAGAGCCATGGGACCCTCTGTCTCCACCAGCCTCTCGTCTTTGCTTCCTTTGGGGTTACTATGTCATCTGTTCCCAATGGACAAAGCGCTTAGCCACCCACTCCCCTTCAAGCAGCTTGACAGCTCTACAGGTGAGAAGAAAGTAATTCATTCTGAGCCATAAATGTTCTGAAAAGGTGTGGCTCCTGGTAATAGCCAAGTCTCCCCCATCAGCCCAGCCCTCCCCCACACACAGGCTATCCTCTATGAAATAGGTATTGAAAGCACTGGGAAGTGACCAAAAGCCAACTGAAGCTGCAAGTTGGCTGACACTTGGAAGAAAGGAATAGTGCACAGTGAGCTTCCCATCACACAGCCCTGCTCCATCACTGCTGTGGGTGTGGGAACTCAGGACCCCAGTCGTACAGCCTGAAAAACCAGAGGGCAGAGTCGGGGGCAACAATAGAATCTAGAAAGTGAAGGGAGTGATTTTAGAAAGAATAGAGCCAAGGGGAAGCCCAAATTCTGGATATGTACTCTGTCCAAATCTGTGACAGACCCCTAGTTATGCATGAGTGGTGCAAACGCCAGACAGCCCAGCTAAGGCTATGAGGACTGATCTGAGATTTTAGCTGCTGTTCACTGCAAGGAGAGAGAGTTTGACATTTGAATTTAGCCAAATTAACTGCTGTCTTTAAAAAAAATTAAGCTGGGTCTGGTGGCACACACCAGTAATCCCCAGAACTTGGGAGGCTGAGGCAGAAGGATTGCAAGTTTGAGGCCAGCCTCAGCAACTTAGCAAGGCTCTAAGCAACCTTGTGAGACCCTGACTCAAAATTTAAAAATAAATAGATAAAAAGGGCTTGAGATGTGGCTTAACCCAGTGGTTAAGTACTCCTGGGTTCAATCCCCAGTATCACAAAAAATAAAAATAAAACAAATTAAATTTAAAAATCAGTGCTCCTGAGAAGAACATAACAGAATCCAAAGTTTCTTTTCTTTTTAGGGAACTGATTTACTCAGTTTCATACTGCAGTTAGCTATTTAATATGCCAACTGTCATACTAAAAAGTTTCCATCAATGTTAAGAACTACGTATTTAGATACATGCATCTAGATGTATACATACACCATTATTTATGGTTACACCTTTATTGGATAAAGTATTGCATCACTGGAGTTTTCCGAGTTAATAGTCTGGAACAATATAGCTGGGACTTAATAAGATGAACTATCCTCTCATACCTACCCTTTTACATTTTGTTCCACTTAAATATGACCTATTTATAAAGCTTACATAAACATACCTCCAATTAGTGGCTAGTCTAGAAGAGAATTTTAAAAATTACTCTCATTTCAATGCTTTCATATATCTTTTAGTCACCTAGTCGCAATTATTGAGAACTTGTTGTTTAGTCTCTCAGATCTGAAATTTTTATTTCAAACATGAGCTAGGCAGGGCCCATTTCAAATCCTGATTCGCTATTGATTCAAATGGGTGTTCTTAAACTACAAACAACAGAATGTCAGTATCCCAAAGTTAGGGGAAAAGAAACAGCTTTGTGGGTCTAATCCATAGATATGGAAATTAAGTAAACACAAAATTTCTCTATTTAGATTTTAACAACTTCCCATCTTTCCTGTGCATTAGGTGCTGTTTTCAAGTACTTTACAAAATTTTCATCATTAACACACTGTGAAGTAGGTATTTATCCCATATTACAAATGGGAAAAAATAGGCTCAAAAGTTCCTATTTCTATAAAGCCCTACACCAGGGTATGCATCTGAAATACATTACCCCAAATACTTTAATTGTACTAAGTCACCGAACATCTGAAAACAAATTTTTATTTTATGATCAGTGAAAATCCTGCCAGGTAAGGTAGTGCACACCTGTAATCCCCAGCCACTCACAAAACTGAGACAGGGTTGCAAGTTTAAGACCAATCTCAGTTACTTAGCAAGACCCTAAAGTCGTAATAAGACCCTGCCTCTAAACAAAACAAAAATGGGCTGGGGGACATGACTCAGTGGTTAAGTGACCCTGGGTTCAATCCTATCAAAAAGAAAAAAAAAACCCAAACTTAGGTAATCAAGATAGTCAAACTGTCAACAAAGACTTCTGTAGGTAGGCATTTAGTCCATAGATGATCAACTTTCACTAATACCTCTAATATCAACTTACAAGTTAACTGTTGCCTCCTCAAGTAAGCATTCCTAAAATAAATGCCATCCCCTATAAATACAAATCCTAGTGAAATTTAGATTAGTCAGGGAATATCACAATCAAATACTTCTTAGGCTAGTTACCTAGAATTCTAGACTTAAGACCCAAGATTTCATATATAATTCAAAATCTACTCAGGTATTCTACCTTTAACTTAATAAAAAGCTAAAATTTTTGTAATTTTTTTTAAAAAATCAAATGTGTACATTTTAGAATTCACCACCCTAGCTACATAAAATTTCTGAAGGCCAAAGCGGGTAAGGGACAAGTTACTTAATAAATGAATATAAGCATCAAGCACGAAGTGTAATATTTCTTTGAAAGTTCATAAAGTTCTTAAAGTGTATTAAATTCCAGATCTGAATTTCAAAGTTTAAAACATTTTACTAATTCTACTGTTACCTAAGAACTATTGGGCATAATTTTTTTTCAAAAGGGAAAACTAATTTAGCGTATTAAGACAAGGACAATAGGAATAATATACATAATTTTATTACAAATTTTTAAAAAAATGCAACATCCTAAAAAACCCAAAATTTACTAATTCCTATCAGTTTGCTGTGCTACCATACACAAGAAATTAAAGAAACCATTAAATATTTAGGAACATTCAACATCAGAAGCTTTAAAATCTAACTGTATGTAGTAGCCCTTCAAAAAGCTACAATCTGCATTTTTAAAAAATTATTTTCTCTACAAAGAATCTTAGCAACTATACAAAAATCTGTACAGTTTTTATACTGAAGCTAATGTTGAGCTGCACTTGAATTCACATTCTTAGCAAAACAGTTGCCTGAGCACACACACACACTCCACACACATCATTACAGGACAACCACTTATTCTTCATCCTCCTCCTCTTCCTCATCATCTTCATCATCCTCCTCTTCTTCCTCTTCCTCTTCATCTTCTGGTTCACTCTTCTTTGAGCCTGTTGGCCTACCGGGGCCCTTCTTTCCTGCTTCACTTTTGCCCTTAGCACGGTATGCAGCAATATCCTTCTCATATTTCTCCTTTAGCTTAGCTGCTTTCTGTTCATATGGCTGTTTATCTTTGGCTGACTGCTCAGACGACATTTCACCCAGTTTTTTTTGCAGTATCCCCAATGGACAGGCCTGGGTGTTCACTTTTGATCTTTGGGCGATGTTCAGAGCAAAACAGGAAGAAGGCAGATGGTGGTCTCTTAGGAGCGTTGGGATCTTTTTTCTTTCCTTTCTTATCACCTTTGGGAGGAACGTAATTTTTCATCTCCCTGTCATAGCGAGCTTTGTCACTTTTTGCCATATCTTCAAACTTCGACTTCTCCTTTGCAGACATGGTCTTCCATCTCTCCGAGCACTTCTTGGAGAATTCGGCGAAGTTGATGGAAGAGTCCGGGTGTTTCTTCTTGTGCTCTTCCCGGCAGGTCTGCACGAAGAAGGTGTACAAGGACATTTTGCCCCTCGGCTTGTTGGGGTCTCCTTTACCCATGGTGGCAGCCGCCGTCTACCTGATGGGAGCTTTTCCTCAGAGTCCCGCAGAGTGGCCGGATCAGACAGAGAAGCTTCCTCCCCTGGGCTCCGGCGTGAACTCCAGAATCCAAAGTTTCTACAACATATTCACAATATCCAGGATACAATCCGAGATTATTAAACGTGAGGAAACATCTTGGTCATACTCAAAAGAAAAAGCCATCGTGGAAAAAGATCCTGAGATGACCTGGTATTGGAAGCAGCAGACAAGGATTTCAAAACTGCTATTATAACTGTGCTCAATGATATACAAATGAGGGAGGGAAAACCCTCAGCAAATAAACAGGACTAAGTGAAGATTCTAAAACTGAAGACTATAAGGTCTGAAATAAAAAAAAATCCCCCAGATGGGCTTAACAGCAGATGGGAAATGGGAAAAGACATCACTAAGAATAAGACTCTAAGTCCCCTCTGTCTGACCTGGCTGAGGCATCAAGCCGCCATCTGATTTCTTTCTCAAAGACAATGAACTTTTCTATCACAGCACCATAGCTCATGGGTGGTTCTTGGAATTCCACAGAAAGAAAGAGTTAGAGATGGATTATTTTGGTAACATGTAGCAAAACATAATACCTTGTTTGTGAAGATATCACACTATCTTGATTCAACCTTAAAAAGGGTGGTGGAGTGTTTTCATTTCCAGCCAAGTACCTCTGAGTAGTCAGCTAGACATGGACAGAGAGGGAGCACTGGGGTTCCAAGAGTTCATCCCTCACTGCTGTCATAAATTCTGGGAGAACAAAGCACACCACTTTTCCACTCTTCTTGGCAAAGCAGTGGAAGCAAACGTCTGCCCCTCACTGTCCCAAGACTGGAGCACTATCCATATCCAGAGCAATGGAAGGCTTCAGTGGGTGAGGCCAGCATGGCCTAGTCAAGGAGAAGACCAGACCTGAGAGGCCAGGCAACCCCACTCCTGAAAGGCTTTTTTCTTGTCTAAACAGACCCCACATCTCTGCCCTTGGGCCGTGGTCTCTGGCCCATCCTGTCTGAAAGCCTCAGGGAGGTCCCCAGCTGGCTTATCACAGGGAACAGCAAGCCCTGCCCTAGCCCGGGTGGTGATCCCCCAAGAATGCCCCTCGGGGCTTCCCTCCATCAGGGCAGCCTCCTGAAGCCCAGGGCCTTCTCCGAAATCCTATTGTCAGGGCTCCCACCCCGTTCTTGGGTTCTTGTTTTTTTCTGGAGGAAAATGGAAGAGGGTCACTCATATTCAACACCAAGTAGGAGCCAGGCAGTGCTTGAAGCTATACATGCCTTGGCTCATGAAGCTCCCTTAGCCGCCCCGTGGGAAAGGACTCTTGTTCCTCACTTACAAGTAAGGGTATGAGTTCATTGCAGGTTAGATAACTTCCCTAGGTTCCTGTGAGTGACAGGGCAGATTCACACCCAGGCCTCTGTGCTCCCAGCACCGGCACCTGACCAGCAGGAAGCTCATTGCTGTGCTGGAACTCAGGTGCTGACCCACCAGAGACCTTTCTATAAGCAGCTTCACAAGAACACCTGGAAAATATCTGTCTGGACCAAGAGCATGTGTTTCAAACTAAAAATTCCAAGCACAGAAACTTCTGAGTGCACTTCCATCATTTGGCATGGAACTTAGTCTCCTTTTCCTCTGTACCCTGTCCAGCCTCCCCGAGTTCTGCAGTTGGTCCTCCCATTGGCCAAGCCAAGAGCAGGAACCATGTCTACCTCATTTAAAGCTTCATCTGCTGCACCTGGAAGACAGTTAACATTGTTAAAAATAATAAGAGTTAACAGGCCCTATTATTTATTTATATATATATATATATATATATATATATATATATATATATATATATATATATAAACTTGTAGATGGACACAATACCTTTATTTTATTTGTTTATTTATCTGTGGTGCTGAGGATCAAACCCAGGGGCTCACATGTGCGAGGCAAGCTCTCTACCACTGAGTCACAACCTCAGTCCAACAGGCCCTATTTAGATCCGTGGTACTGAGCACCTGCAGACCAGGACTGCTAACGAGACCTTGACTCACCACACTGTCTCAGAGGCCTTTGGTTGGTTTATTCCCTGTACCTGGTCACTCCCTGGGGGGCACATACTCTTGGTACCCCTAACATACCTGGTGGGGGTCAGGCCTAGACTCTGATCACACGTGTCTTTCTGGTTCACACAGGGAAGGAGCGGCTTGCTGCTTGCCTTGGAATTACTGTTCAGGAAGCCACCCAGTTTTTGGAGAGCTTTTTGCAGAAGTACAAGAAAATCAAAGACTTCGCGCAAGCAGCTATTGACCAGTGTTATCACACAGGTAGGGCAGCCACAGCCACGCCCTGGCACCCCCTGCTTCCTCCCCTCTGCAGCTTCCAGTGCTGTCACTCCTAGCTTTACAGCTGGCAGGTGGACAGACAGGTGGACAGTGTGTGGATGGGCAGGGCTGGGCTGCTGAGGCTGCAGTGCCTGGATGAGCTACAGTTCCTGCCAATGAACAGAGAGGGCCATCACCAGAGCCAGGCTCCACCTGAAGCAACAACCTAGTGTAGCCACCCAGATAGGTAGAGAGACAGACAGGACCTGGGCCCAGAAATGGAAGACATGTGGCACATTTACAAAACACCTCCAGTCTGGTCACAAAGGAAACCCCAAAAGATTTCATGTCTGTGACCACAGTGTACTAAGAAGTCCCTTGATACATGGCTCTGCATGTGCCATTCACATACCTACTTGGAACTGTGTCACAGTCCCAAGTAACTTAAGATAAAAAAAGACATCCCAAGAAAATACAAGATTTTAGGAGTAAAAGACAGTAAAATAGGGGCTGGGGATGTGGCTCAAGTGGTAGTGCGCCCGCCTGGCATGCGCGAGGCACTGGGTTTGATCCTCAACACCATATTAAAACAAAATAAAGATATTATGGACTCCAAGATGGCCGCGAATAGAGTGCATCACACCCCGTGTACCGCACCACTGCGCAGGTGAATAACGAGTTAGAACGACAAAAAACTATCTTGTTAGGAACTTACAGCAAAATGGGGGTGCACCGAAACCTAGAGGAAGGATTTCCAGCACCGAGGTCCGGTAATTGAGTCTCAAACACGAGCCAACTGTGTGACCGGAGATCCAGGCTGACTGATCCGCACGGCCCGCCCCGCGGCTACAGACGGCGGGGCGCCGCCGAGAAGCGACCAGCAAGCAGGGAGAAACGTTGCTGCGGATTCTGTGGAATCCTGCCGGCTGAGCCCTCACTGAGCCCCGGGCTGAGTTCGGGATTTCAGACGGGGAAGGAATACCCCACAACGGAAACTCCACCAAGGAAACCAGCGGCCACCATCTTGGAGAGCTGAAGTAACCACCGCCACTCTCCGACAGGTTGCAACAATAAAACAGGTGTGTGTTACTCAGCTCATCTCCCATACAGCAGGGAATTCACATAAAATCTCTCCTAGGCTTTCCGGGGGAGGGATTATCAGAGTGAGCCTGCATAAAGACGCGGGGAAAACTAGAGACACCTGACCTTCAACTCCCCCTCCCATCAGCAGCAAGAACGAAACCTGTCTTGCCAGCGCTGGGGGAGGGGCAAGCGGAAAAAATCAAAACAATAGAGTGCCGGGGTTCCCAATAGCCACCCTCCACACCCAACAAACGGCAGGCCCAGAGTACAGTTTGAACTGCCGAGAGGCATCACTCAGGGGAAATCTGGTCTAGCAGGAGAAACCAGGACTATCAGGAGAAACCAGGGGACTAGAGGCCAGGCCCTCGTGACTGGGTGGCTGGAGACCGCACGCCAGAGACAGTCCAGTCCCACCCCCCCCATTCGGACACCCCGGCAAGGAGCCTGGGGCCCGCCATAGCAGAGAGGTGACGTCACTGGAGCTCGGCCGTCGGAATTCCTTCCCAGCGGAATCCACTTTAGCAGGCATAGTCCACCAACACAAAGGAGAGACAACAGAGATATACAAAACCAAAACAAATCTATAGAAGAGAGCAGAAACACAGCAATCAAATAGAGCTGGAAAGTAACATGAACATCATGAAAAAACAAGGGAAAAAAGGAGTACAAACATTGCAGGACAACTTAAATCTACAGGAGGACCTAGAAGCATCAGAAACATGGATAGGGAAAGAACTCAAGGCATACCTAACTCAGATGGAAAGGAATATTAGAGAAGACATGAGACAGCAAGTCCAAGCAATAAAAGTATATTTTGAAAATGAATTAAACAAACAAATTCAAATGGCAAAGAATGAGCTTTACCAGGAGATAGAGGTCTTAAAAAAAATCAAACAGTAATCCTAGAAATGCAGGAAACTATAAACCAAATTAAAAACTCAAATGAGAATATTACAAATAGACTAGGTCAAGTAGAAGTCAGAACATCAGATAATGAAGACAAAGTTTATCAACTTGAAAAGAATATAGTCAACACAGAAAAGATGCTTAAATCCCATGAGCAATCTATTCAAGAGATATGGGATGTCATAAAAAAACCAAATTTGAGAGTCATCGGGATAGAAGAAGGCACGGAGATTCAAACCAAAGGAATGGACAACATATTAAATGAAATAATTCTAGAAAACTTCCCAGATATGAAAGATGGAATGAAATTAAAATCTTTCACGATAAACAAAAGCTAAAAGAATTCGCAGCCAGAAAACCAGCACTACAAAGCATTTGGAGCAAAATACTTCAAAGAAGAGGAATTGAAAAATAGTGCCCAAAACTAACAGCGGGAGGTATCTCAGTAAAGGGGGAGGAAAATAACCAAAAAGTAAAAACTAGCCAAACTAAAATAAATAAATAAATAAACATGACTGGAAGTACAAATCATATTTCAATTGTAACCTTAAATGTTAATGGCCTAAACTCACCAATCAAGAGACATAGGCTAGTAACCTGGATCAAAAAAACAGATCCAACAATATGCTGCCTTCAGGAGACTCATATGATAGGAAAAGACATACACAGGCTGAAGGTAAAAGGTTGGGAAAAATCATACCACTCACATGGCCCTCGGAAGCAAGCAGGAGTGGCCATACTCATATCGAATAAAATCAACTTCAAACCTAAGTTAATCAAAAGGGATAAAGAAGGACACTATATACTGTTAAAAGGAACCATCCACCAACAAGACATAACAATTATCAATTTGTATGCACCAAACAGTGGAGCTGCAACGTTCATAAAATAAACTCTCCTCAAGTTCAAGAGTCAAATAGACTACAACACAATAATTATGGGTGACTTCAACACACCACTCTCGCCATTAGACAGATCCTCTAGACAAAAGCTGAATAAAGAAACTATAGAACTCAATAGCACAATCAATAACCTAGACTTAACCGACATATATAGAATATATCAACCATCATCAAGTGGATACATGTTCTTCTCAGTAGCACATGGATCCTACTCAAAGATAGACCATATATTATGCCATAGGGCAACTCTTAGTAAATATAAAGGTGTGAAGATAATACCATGCACCATATCTGATCATAATGGAATGAAACTGGAAATCAATGATAAAAGAAGGAAGGAAAAATCCTACATCACATGGAAAATGAACAATATGTTACTGAATGATCAATGGGTTACAGAAGACATAAAGGAGGAGATAAAAAAAATTCTTAGAGACAAATGACAATACAGACACAACATACCGGAATCTATGGGACACAATGAAAGCAGTTTTAAGAGGGAAATTCATTTCTTGGAGTTCTTTCCTCAAAAAAAGAAAAAACCAACAAATAAATGAACTCACACTACACCTCAAAAACCTAGAAAAGGAAGAGCAAAACAACAGCAAATGTAGTAGAAGACAAGAAATAATTAAAATTAGAGCAGAAATCAATGAAATTGAAACAAAAAAAAAACATTGAAAAAATTGACAAAACTAAAAGTTGATTCTTTGAAAAAATAAATAAGATCAACAGGCCCTTAGCCATGCTAATGAAGAGAAGAAGAGAGAGAACTCAAATTACTAATATATGGGATGAAAAAGGCAATATCACAACAGACACTACGGAAATACAGAAGATAATTAGAAAGTATTTTGAAACCCTATATTCCAATAAAATAGAAGATAGTGAAGATATTGATAAATTTCTTAAGTCATACGATCTGCCCAGATAGAGTCAGGAAGACACACACAATTTAAACAGACCAATAACAAAGGAAGAAATAGAAGAAGCCATCAAAAGACTACCAACCAAAAAAAGCCCTGGACCGGATGGGTATACAGCGGAGTTTTACAAAACCTTCAAAGAAGAATTAATACCAATACTTTTCAAGCTATTTCAAGAAATAGAAAAAGAAGGAGCTCTTCCAAATTCATTCTATGAGGCCAACATCACCCTGATCCCGAAACCAGACAAAGACACTTCAAAGAAAGAAAACTACAGACCAATATCTCTAATGAACTTGGATGCAAAAATTCTCAATAAAATCCTGGCAAATCGAATACAAAAGCATATCAAAAAAATTGTGCACCATGATCAAGTAGGATTCATCCCTGGGATGCAAGGATGGTTCAATATACGGAAATCAATAAATGCTATTCACCACATCAATAGACTTAAAGACAAGAACCATTAGATCATCTCGATAGATGCAGAAAAAGCATTCGACAAAGTACAGCATCCCTTTATGTTCAAAACACTAGAAAAACTAGGGATAACAGGAACTTACCTCAACATTGTAAAAGCAATCTATGCTAAACCTCAGGCTAGCATCATCCTAAATGGAGAAAAACTGAAGGCATTCCCTCTAAAATCTGGAACAAGACAGGGATGCCCTCTATCACCACTTCTATTCAATTTAGTTCTTGAAATACTGGCCAGAGCAATTAGACAGACAAAAGAAATTAAAGGCATAAAAATAGGAAAAGAAGAACTTAAATTATCGCTATTTGCGGATGACATGATAATATATTTAACAGACCCAAAAGGGTCTACAAAGAAACTGCTAGAGTTAATAAATGAATTCAGCAAAGTGATAGGATATAAAATCAACACTCATAAATCAAAGGCATTCCTGTATATCAGCAACAAAACTTCTGAAATGGAAATGAGAAAAACCACTCCATTCACAATATCCTCAAAGAAAATAAGATACTTGGGAATCAACCTAACAAAAGAGGTGAAAGATTTATACAATGAAAACTACAGAACCCTAAAGAGAGAGATAGAAGAAGATCTTAGAAGATGGAAAAATGTACCCTGTTCATGGATAGGCAGAACTAACATCATCAAAATGGCAATATTACCAAAAGTTCTCTACAGGTTTAATGCGATGCCAATCAAAATCCCAAC